CGTCTTCTCTCGTCAGGCCTGCGACCCACGCCGGTTCTTTCGGGCGAAGGGAGCCAAACAGCTCCGTGAGGAGATCCATGGTTGAAAAGGAAGGGGACCTGAACACCTGCGATGGCCACGCTGCTGATTCTGACTGACTGATCGTCTGTCCTCTCCATTCCCCCCTGGTTCTGCCATATAGAAAGATGGCTCTATCCTCCTGATCTTCAATCAGTTCTCTCACTCTCGACTTGCGCTTGTGACTGCGCGATCCTGTGTACCCGTTCCTGCTGGCTGTGACTGATCCAATCTTCCCTTTTTCACCGCCGCAGCTTTTCTCCCCCAACTTAGCTGTCGACAGAGCTCCCCTCTTAAATCACTTGCAGCTGCCACCTCAGCAGTACCTCCAGGCGACTTGCGCAACCCAGTCTCCTTTCTTCCTCTCCCAAGATGGTCGCACTCATCCCCCCTCCTGAGCCCCGCACCCTGCTGCCACCTCTACTCGCCTGTCTTCCTACAGCTTTCGTATCGCCTCAACCCCCTCCGGCTCTGCTACCCCTCCTGTCTCCCATTCTCCGTCAACGGGTCAAGATTCTAAGCTCCGTATCTGCCTCGCCCACCGAATCATGGCTCCGACTGCTGTGCTGGGATGCTGGACTGGCTGAGCGTCTCCAAACATTGGTGGATGGCGCAACCTTCGAGCCACACCCGGTGTCGGGTGAAATTGAGCTCCCCGACGAGCTCCCCGTCAGGTACATGCGTGTAGACGAAGAGACCCTACGGTCGCGCGTAATACTTCCCGAATTCAGCTTGAAAGTCATCTACCTCTGGTGCCCCGACGATCAAGAAGGCGGGGGCCCCGCGTGGCGGGTAGCAGAACTGTTACCGGATGAAGGCAACGTCGATGACGGTGAAGACTGGTCTGTGTCCATCGGGGAGGCCAATGCTCTCCAGAAAGACCGTCTGCTAGAGGACGCCCTAAAAGCAGGCGAGGCCGCTGAACAGGCAAAGAACCAAGAAGAGGAGGAAGATGATGACGATGACTACTGGGCTCAATACGATGCAACTCCCGGAAGAACTCCTGCAAACAAGACACCCGCTCCTAATGCCGTTTCATCCCTGCAGCAGTCGGAAGCGGATTACTTTTCTCGCTACGGTGATGTACAGCCTGCCATGGATAACCATGATCCCGAGGAAGACCAACCCGAGGTCGGACCCTCCTCCCTCAATGGCGATATGCTGGCCAAACTGCTTCAGCGACAATTCAATGGAGACGAAGCTGACAAGCCAATTAATACTTCAAATGGTGTTGCTACCAATGGAGATCATGCTGGCTTAAACCACCCTCGACCCTCTTCCATCTCTTCTGCGAGCTCCGAAGCTGTCGCCCGACTCGAACAAGAGGCTGAGAACCAGTCGGCGTATGAAGTGGGCGTCAAACAGCATATTGGCTCGAGCATCAAGGGTCTGTTCCGACTGGCTAAAGCTACCGGCATCTCGCGCAGTGACTTTCAGTCACTTGTCAAGACGGAACTTGAATTACTGAACGTGTCGGACGACGGTTGAAATAGGTGAATGTGGGGTCATTTTTCTTTCTTCATTTTCTCAAATTGTATATACTGCATGCGGTCATGTTCAGCGTTTGAGGTGCATTGATTTGGCATTGGATATCCCCAGGTAGTTTTGAGGAATACGTTGATCGGGTTCATCAGCACCATCATGATAACATTATATAATAGCTCAAATCCAAATATTGAATTTCCGACGGATAATGACGATCGAACCCTGGAGGCAGAACTACGCAGTAGCGCTGAAGTACACGTGTTTCATCGCGCGACGTTTCCCATAAATTGGCCCTGGACGGGGGCTTGTTTCAAGTTCGGACCAACGCCTTGTTCCGTTCCGCAAGCGTTTGGGAGGCCAGAAAGACACGCAATCCGCTCCCATCGGCAACAAGAAAACCGCGCCCCCCCCTCTTGCTGCTGCGGCTGTGACCATTAAGTATATTCATCCCTTCGGTCTATCATGTTCTTTTCCTGACTGGCTTTTTTCTTGCTTTTTATTGTAAGTAGCCCTCCTACAAAGGCACAAGCATGCGAATGCTTTCCTGCCCGCTCCGTCCAGCTTGCTGACCTGACCCCCCGTATGCGGCTTCTAGAAGTCCATTAGGTGTCATTCGTTCGTTCCTTTTTCTTGACCACACTACCTAATCATGTCTTCATCTCCTTCGCCCTCTCTTCGCAAGAGGGGCGGCAAGAAGGAGAGTACTCCCGTGCCTGCGGATAAATTCTCTTCTCCTTTGTCCAAAGCGACTGCTCCTCGTTCGGAATGGGATTACTGGCTGGCCATTTCCATTCTGACCGTGCTTGCATTCGTCACCCGTTTCTACAAGATTTCTTATCCCAACGAGGTCGTTTTTGATGAGGTGCACTTTGGAAAGGTAGGCTGGCAATCAATTGATCGTTATGAAGCTCCATCATGGCGGGTTGCTAACGGGAATCCGCTCTAGTTTGCCTCGTACTACCTCCAGCGCACTTACTTCTTCGATGTCCACCCTCCGTTCGGCAAGCTCCTTTTCGCCTTCATGGGCTGGCTGGTCGGTTATGATGGCCACTTCCTCTTCGATAACATTGGTGATTCCTACATTGAACACCAGGTCCCCTACGTGGCTCTTCGGGCTATGCCGGCCGCGCTCGGTGCCCTGACTGTTCCCGTTGTGTTCCTAATCATGTGGGAATCTGGATATTCGCTGCCTGCTTGTGTTTTGTCCGCTGGTCTTGTCCTGTTTGACAATGCCCATGTCGGAGAGGACCGTTTGATTCTTTTGGATGCCTCGTTGGTCCTGACCATGGCCCTGAGCATCCTCTGCTATATCCGCTTCTACAAGCTGCGTCATGAGCCATTCGGACGGAAATGGTGGAAGTGGCTGCTCCTGACCGGTGTGTCGCTTAGCTGCGTCATCTCCACCAAGTACGTCGGTGTCTTCACTTTCGTCACCATCGGTTCCGCCGTCATGGTTGATCTGTGGAACCTCTTGGATATCCGCCGTCGTGGCGGTGCTCTCACCATGTTCCAGTGGGGTCAGCACTTCGTTGCTCGCGCTTTTGCCCTGATCATTGTGCCCTTCTTCTTCTATCTGTTCTGGTTCCAAGTCCACTTTGCCATCCTCACCCGCTCCGGCCCCGGCGATGATTTCATGACCCCCGAGTTCCAGGAAACTCTCAGCGACAATGTGCTGAGCGCCCAGTCTGTCGGTATCGAATACTACGACACTATTACCATGAAGCACAAGGATACCAAGGTCTATCTTCACAGCCACCTCGAGAGGTACCCCCTTCGGTACGATGATGGACGTATCTCCAGTCAGGGCCAGCAGGTTACCGGATACCCTTACAACGACACGAACAACCAATGGCAGATCATCCCCGCGGTGCCTCTGGATGTGACTGACATCAGCGGACACAAGGTGCGCAACGGTGATGTTGTTCAGCTCCGCCATACGGGCACAGACACGATCTTGCTCACCCACGATGTTGCATCTCCCTACTACCCGACCAACCAGGAGTTCACCACTGTCTCCCATGAGATTGCCAACGGTGACCGGCACAACGACACGCTGTTCGAGATCAAGATTGAGAATGGCAAGCCCGGTCAGGCATTCCGCACTTTGTCTAGCCACTTCAAGCTGATCCATATGCCCACCCGTGTGGCCATGTGGACTCACACCACGCCGCTGCCCGACTGGGCCTTCAAGCAAGCCGAGATCAACGGCAACAAGAACATCCTCCAGACCAGCAATTTGTGGTTCGTTGAGTCTATTGAGTCCTTGGAAGAGGACAGTCCCCGTCTGGTCAAGGAAGAGCGCCAGGTCAAGCACCTTCCTTTCTTCCGCAAGTACCTTGAACTGCAGCGTGCCATGTTCTTCCATAACAATGCCTTGACCAGCAGCCACCCGTACGCGAGTGAGCCCTTCCAGTGGCCTTTCTTGCTCCGTGGTGTCAGCTTCTGGACCAAGAACGACACCCGGGAGCAGATCTACTTCCTTGGTAACCCGGTCGGATGGTGGATCGCCAGCAGTCTGTTGGCGGTGTTCGCTGGTGTCATCGGTGCTGACCAGCTGTCTCTGCGTCGCGGTGTCGATGCTGTGGAAGAGAGTAAGTGAAAGCCCTTGTGATTTTCAACAAGCAGCTACTAACGAGTGATAGTTTGGGGCCAAGGTTCCCGTTCCCGTCTGTACAACAGCATGGGATTCTTGTTCCTGTGCTGGGCCGCCCACTACTTCCCCTTCTGGCTGATGGGCCGTCAGCGTTTCTTGCACCACTACCTCCCCGCTCATCTTGCTTCCGCTCTTGTGGCTGGTGCCTTGATCGAGTTCATCTTCAACCTGGAGCCGCTCTCGGTCATCCAGCGTGTGCGGTCCGAGGATGACCCGTCGGGCAAGGCCAAGGCGTCAGCTTCGGTTGGACGCTTCGTTACTGCCAAGGAACGCATGGGCACCAAGTCCCTTGTTGCGGGCTGGGCCGCGACCCTGGTCATCCTGGCCGGTACGATCTACGGATTCGTCTTCTACGCCCCGTTGACCTACGGCACCCCGGGTCTGGATGTGCCGGGTATCCTTGCCCGCAAGTGGCTGGGCTACGACCTGCACTTTGCCAAATAGATGAATGGCGGTTGATTAAGCCTGCAGTTGGCAGGAAAGAAGAGTATGTAGGGTTGGTGAACTCCGGTTTAGGCCGGAGTAGGCGTTCTGTAAGATATAATAGGTGTCTTGGGGTCAGATTCTTACGTCCATCCAGAACCGCCGTTGGGTGTGTTCCGAGAACCGCCTTTTGGCGTGACTGGGATGATTTTGCTCGATTTCTGAGTTCTCCCTGTTGATATAGCGAATGTTATGCATCTTATCTAACTCCTTACTATCTTCAGTATTGTTGATACGGGTTCAGACTACCATAATTCTACTTGAGGAAGCTCCATTGATCTCATCACTCATAATAGTATTCGGTGATCTATACAAACATTCAAAAAAAAAAAAAAAACTCAAACCAAACGCCAATACACAATACAAATCTCATCTAGCAGTTCCAAACAAACAAATATAACAATCTAATAAGCCATGCGCTTCCCAATCTCACTTTCCCAATTCCTGGCCTTCTCAAACCCATTCGACGCCGTCTGAAAGTCCACCATAGCCTGATACACCTCCTGCTCACTGTTCAGCACAAACGGACCATACTGCACGACCTTCTGATCCAACGGCTGACCCGCCACCAAAATGAACCTTCCTTCCTCATCCGCATTCTCCGGCACCGACGCCTCCACATAATCACCCTGCTGCTCAAACACCACATTATGAAACTCCTTGATTGTCTTCGTTTCCCCACCGGACCCGAAAATCGTCTTCCCAGCCAAGGTATACGCAAACGCATTCCACCCAACCGGCAACACCTGCTTGACCCGACCGCCCGGCTTCACCGTCATATCCAACAACCAAACAGGCGTATACGCCAGATCCCTTACGGAATCCACTCCATGCGACTGGCCCGAGATGACCTTCACCGTGACGCGCCCATCATCCGCCTTCGCAATGGGGATCTCTGACGCCCGCAGATCACGGTACCGCGGCTCGCACATCTTCAATTCCTTGGGCAGATCCACCCACAGCTGCATGCCCACGTTGGGACTCCCATCGGGATTCTCGTGCGGCATCTCCGCGTGCATTATTCCCCGGCCGGCGGTCATGAATTGCAGGTCTCCGGGGCCGATCGTGCCCCGGTTTCCGGCGAAGTCTTCGTGGTCCACGCCGCCCGAGAGGAGGTACGTGATGGTTTCCTGCCCGCGGTGTGGGTGGTCGGGGAATCCGGCGCCCTTGCCGATCGTGAAGTGGTCCAGCATCAGGAAGGGGCTGAAGTTGCGCAGGTTGCGTGTGCCGATGGAGCGGCGGACGCGCGCGCCGGCGCCTTCGGCTTGTTCGATGGCGAGGAAGGCTTGGCGGATGGCGCGGGGGACGGACATGTTGGATGGATTTGTGTTGGTTGATGTGGCGGTGGTGGTGTTGGTAGATGTAGTAGTAAAGAATCTAGTAAACTGGTAGAAGAAAGTAGATGTAGATGTAGATGTATTGCAAGTCAAGACAATAGCAATGATAGCGATGAAAAACGAAACGAGGAGTTTCATGGGGTTCCTGTGAACGGCCTTTTATAATTTGTCTGAGGGCAGTGCGAATGATATAGAAGGTGCTGGCTACGATGGGATAGTTAGAATTTGGGGTTTAGTCAACTTCTTATAATGATTTGGGTAAGCTGATGATTCGATTTAGTTAAAACTAGGTTAGTTAGCTCAGCTTAGCTTAGCTTAGCATAGAGTAAGTAATCATAATCAGAATTATTCTTTTTGGCTGGTGGGGGGGGGGAAAGGAAAGTCAATTGTGGGGGAGAGAGAGAGAAAATAGTACTACTACGTTTCTCCGTAACCAAAAGTAGTATGCTGGATCATGAATGTGCACCATGGGTCAAGTTCTTACAAAGATTGCCGTCAGCAGTTTTAGCGCCATTATTCAGGGCTGACTCAGTGGGGTCAGTGCAGCTGGGTTGTTCTTTCTTTTTTTCCGTGGACGGATGAATGTCGCGTCAGACAGCCCAGGCACTGTCTAATGTCAAGGCAATGCCATAAAGATGTCATACGGTGTGCTCTAATGGTAAGGAACATAGATTAGTCGAGATAGTGCAGCATCCTGCCAAACTGGTGATTGCCGATAGAGAGCTTTCAGGAAGCGGAACTCTCATACACCAACCTCTCATAATGTTCTCCTTATAAATATAATGAATGAATAAGTTAGTACATACGACCATAGGGTGTGGAAAATAGGGCTTCCCGTCCGCTCAGCCGTACTCAAGCCACACGCCGGGAGGTTAGTAGTTGGGTGGGTGACCACCAGCGAATCCCTTCTGTTGTATGTTTTTTCCCATTTTCTTTTACTTTTACCATGATTATAGAAAGACATTCTTTATTTTTGGACGGATGAATTGGGGGGGGGGTGGTTTGAGTCAGTTCTTCATATTGACGGTTAGTCAGTCATGATTGATTGGGAGATGGGTGGTGTATAATTCTGGAATATGCTATCGTAATCTGTGCTTCTTCAGATGCTGGTAGTTGCATAACTTTGTACTACAGTAATTTTAGTTAAATTACTTGCTTTGTAGGTGCACGTGCTGATAAGATATCCCCCGGCTCTCCGCTGCTGCGCTGCTCTTCCCAACTGGCATGTCCCTGGGTGCATCACGGCCTCGAAGATCATCATACCCCAACTGTAATTCTGATTCTTATGCCATCATATTTACAATAATGTTCCCTTGATCGTATTCCCTGTGTATTCATTCCTACCCCTCACTAAGCCACTGGCCACCCGTCTCCGTCACGCACCCAATCAGGCCAGATCGTCGCATTCAGGAACACCGCGGCCGGCGGCCTTGACCCCGACCCGTCTCAATTGATACCCCGTCTCCTTTCTACAATCGACCATGCCTCGTCGAAACCAGGCTGCACATATTCTGCTAGCGTTGGCGTGTGCCAGCTCTACAGCTTGGGCCAGCAAGAAGGCCTTCAACATCAATGATGACCTATTAGCTTACCCTCAAGTATGCATCGCATCTCACTTGTGCACCCCTCACAGCCCAAATTTAACCGACTTCTACGTCTAGTTTGAGGTGCATTTCCCCGATGACTACGTCCTCGATTCCCATGCCAGAGAGCTCCTACGAGAGCGCAGTGATAGCTCTTCGACCTTCGCCGATGATCAAGAGAAGTCCGCCCAAGTGTACCTAGGCCGCAATACCCATGACAACAACCACGCAACCCCCCGCGATGGCGACGACGGATTCAGCTATGAGGAAATGCTTCTGGGAGAACAGCGGTTCCTCTGCCAGATCCCCCGCGTCGATGTTGAAGACCGGACCAATGCCACCGGACATCCTCACGAAGCGGACGAGCAGAAGGAGCTGGCGCGCGCGATGGATCGGGGCCTGGAGCTCCTGCGCGAGATGGAGGGCAAATGCATGTATTATATATCCGGATGGTGGTCCTACTCTTTCTGCTACAAGAACCAGATTAAGCAGTTCCACGCCCTCCCTTCGGGAAGTGGCGTTCCCAACTACCCGCCTATGGAGGACCATACAACACACTCCTTCATTCTGGGCAAATTCCCTCAGGGAGAGGGCGACGAAGATGAGGTAGAAGGGGCTTCAGACCAGAAGAAAGCTGTCACAGACGTGGCAGAGCTCCAGACGAAGGGCGGCTCCAGGTACTTGGTGCAACGATTGGATGGCGGCACGAAATGCGACCTGACAGGTCGGGACCGGAAGATCGAGGTCCAGTTTCATTGTCACCCTCAGTCGACAGACCGCATTGGTTGGATCAAGGAGCTGACCACATGTTCCTATCTCATGGTCATCTACACCCCGCGTCTATGTAACGACGTTGCCTTCCTGCCGCCCCAGCAGGACGAAGTACATGGAATAGAGTGTCGCGAGATCCTAGACCCGGAGCAAGTATCGGACTGGGAAGCGCTCCGGGAGTATCAGTTGGCGCAACGACTAGTAGAATCCGCCGTGATGGAGGAGTTCCCGGTCGTCGGAGATATCCAGGTCGGTGCTCAGAAGCTGGTGGGATCGGAAGGCAAGGAGATTGAGAAAGGACGCGTCGCGTGGGCTGGAGAAGAGATCATTGAGGTTGTGGCCAAGCGCGAAAACGGAGAAGTGCAACAATTGTCGCGCGAGGACCTGAAAAAGCACGATCTGGACCCAGAGAAGCTCGAAACGTTGAAGAAGCGCTTGGAAGAGTGGGCCAAGGGCAAGGACTGGACGCTGGAGGTCATCTCGGTCAATGGAGAACGTCAACTGCGCGGCCTCGTTGATGATGACGAGGAGGAGGAAGACAACGGAGAGGGCTCCCAGGAAGAGATGGTCTCGGATGCTCCTTCCAAGGAGACGACTGAAGCAGAGGCGGCAGGGCAGGAGCCACAACCGCAGCACCAGGAAGAACAGCAGCCATTGGAGACCGACGAAGCCGAGGAGGTAAGCAAGAAGAGGGTGAAGGATGAGTTGTAGCTAATGTGAGGGCTTTGCTTTTGCTCTATCGGGGTGCCCTTGTGCAACTTCCTCTTTGCGTCTACCATGTGTTTTCTTCTTCTTCTAGCGTGCGTTCGTAGCTACGGCTGATTATATCCCATTGCATAGATTACGATTATCCCGGTTGCCGTGTACTGGGACTATTGACCTGCCATTAATTAAATTCAATAAGTATGAAGTAAATAGTAGACTCAATTCCGGCCCATGGCGAGCACAAGAGCCAATAATGGATGGAGGCTTCCGGGGGGAGGGGAGACCATGCGTGCCCAAAGAGGCTGGGCTGACCGATAAGGGGGGGAAGGCGGGCATTCCAGGCTTGTCCGAAGCATTATTGCCGTTCTCATTCAATGTCAAAAGGGTCAGAGGAGAGAGAGAGAGAGAGAGAGAGAGATGGAATAATGTTAAGAATAATGGTAAGAAGAATAATCTCACACCGAGTTACGGAGTAGAGAAGAACTACATCTATTCTTGTATAAGACTTTTGTCAGGTGCAGATATGATCGATCGAACACCTGCTTGCTGGGTATTAATAAACTAAAAAAGTATCAAATCCAAGAAAACGTGGGTGCAGAAAACGTGACCGCCCGGCCCCCTCAGCCATCCGCGACTCTCTCTTTTCGGGCTGTTGCTCTTCCTTCTGCTGCTGCTTCATCGCCGGTCCAGTTCGGTCCCTTTTTCCCTTCCTCCTCTTTCTTTCCCTCCGCTTTCTTCTATTCCCCCGTTTCTATTCCACTTCTCTTTTAATACTTTACCTTTAAGGCTGCCGCATACCTTCCCGGTTTCTTCCCTCCGGCGAACAACCCTGGTATTGAATTCCCGTCTAGACTGCCTTTGAATCCACTAGTTACTACTACTTACTATCTACGTACTGCTTGGGTGCTTGCCAAGGCTGCCTCCTTCCACTTGGACCACTTACGTACCTGCCCACTACTAACTTAACTAGTGAGAGCAGAGAGATACTTACTCGACTCGGTACGTTTGCTGCACGGGTCTCCTGTCTATCACTCACTCTTCCTTCCTCCGCCCAATCTACCGATCTTCCTCGTCTGTACATACTATTTACCACCCTAACTTCCCCCCTCCATTCCCTCCCGCCTCTTATCCACCCGGTTCGTCCGGCTCATCCTCTCCTGATTCCAGGCCCACAGCCTCGCTCGTCCACGCTGCCCTCCGCAGCCGCGGCACACAACCCCCGGACCCTTCTCCATCGCCGTTTGGCTACCTAACGGCTTCCCACCATGGGTTTCCTCGGTGTCTACACGGCCATCTACGACTACCTCCCCCAAGCGGAGGGGGAATTAGAGCTACGCGAAGGCGATCTGCTGTACATCCTCGAGAAAGGCGAAGAGGAGGATTGGTGGAAGGCTAAGAAGAAGGCCGAGCGTGAGGATGACGATGAACCCGAGGGTCTCATCCCAAGCAACTACGTCGAGGAGGTAAGGATTTTTAGGCCTCCCTCCCCCCACCCCCAACATTTCTTGACGTAGAGTCGGACTATATCTTCAAGCTTGCATGCGTCATCGTCCGGTGTATGGTCGCCGCGGCCGGCCCTCACGCTCAGGGGTACCGGCAACGCTGCAACTCTTGTCTCCAGATTTGAGACCGCTTGTGCTAACGCAATTTCTGTCGGACACGTAGGCTCAACCAGTACACTCGGCCAAAGCGCTCTACGATTATACACGCCAGACGGACGAGGAGGTCTCCTTCTCCGAAGATGCAGACTTGATCGTGTATGATACCTCCGACCCGGACTGGACCCTGGTCGGTGTCAACTCCGATTACGGCTTCGCCCCCGCGAACTACATCGAAATTCTCGAAGATGCAGGCGCGCACCATGCCCCTGCACCAGCCATCCCATCTCCTCCCCCCGCCGAATCTGAACCCGAACCGGCGCCACCCGCCCTCCCGCAGCGACCGACGGTGACGGAGGAAGAAGTCAACGGGACCAGCGCAGCTCCTCCAATTGATGCCGTGCAGAATCCTGCCGCCGCGGCCATCGCAGATATCATCCACAAGCAGCATGCCGCTGCGACAGAACCGGAACCACCCAGAGGCGTTCCCCCGCCCCCTCAGCCGGCACGGCCAGCGTACGATGAGCCCGAGGAGGAGCCCTACCGGAACGAGCCCTCGCCACCTCCGCCTGCGTTACCACGGCGTCCTCCGTCCGAGCAGATCTCGTCGCCAGTCTCGCTGGATTCTCCTCCAGAGCCCGCTCGGCCTCCTCGTTCTCAGGTTTCTTCGGTGCGCGACGGCGACCGCGGTGGCCATGTGCAGGAATCGCCCCCGTACAGCAGAGTCGGCCAACCGACCCCTCGTTCCCCTTCCGGCTACCATATCTACAGCATCAATGAGATGGTGGAAGTAATGGGCAAGCGCAAGAAGATGCCCACAACCTTGGGTATCAATGTCGCAACCGGAACCATCTTTATTTCGCCCGAGGAGGGTGGTGATGTGCAGGAATGGACCGCAGACAAGCTCACCCATTATTCGATTGAAGGAAAGCACGTCTTTGTGGATCTGGTCCGGCCCAGTAAGAGCATCGATTTCCACGCGGGTGCCAAGGACACTGCTCGGGAAATTGTCTCAGCCCTTGGTGAAATTTCCGGCGCCTATCGCGCAGAGGGTCTGAAGGAGGTCATCGCCGCTGGTACCAGTGGAGGACAGAAGAAGGGCCAGATTCTCTACGACTTCATGGCTCAAGGAGACGATGAGGTGACGGTGGCCGCGGGCGACGACGTCATCGTCCTGGATGACGGCAAGTCCGAAGAATGGTGGCAGGTGCGGCGTTTGAAGAACGGAAAGGAGGGTGTCGTCCCAAGTAGCTACATTGAGATTACCGGAACGGTCGGGACTCCGGTGATTAGTTCCGAACCGGGCCTTTCCACTGTAGAGAAGAATCGCATGGAGGAAGCGCGCCTAGCCAAGGAGGCTTTGCGCAAGTCGCGGACCGATTCGGTTGACGGTCAGGTATGTTCCTCTCCCGAAAGCCAGGGTGTCAATTGCTGTAGGTGATGCTGACTATTTGACGCCAGAAACGCGATAGCAAGAGCAGCCACAAGCCGAGTAAGTCATCACGTTCGCCCTCAAGTGCTGAGTCTGTGGCTAATGGAAGCAGAACCGGATCCGGCCAAAACAAGGCAATGGACTGATCGCACCAAGACGTTCACTGTCGAGGCGCAATTCATTGGCCTGCAGGATGGCAAGATTCATCTGCACAAGATGAACGGTGTCAAAATCGCGGTTCCCATCCCGAAGATGTCCGTCGAGGATCTCGAGTATGTAGAGAAGATGACAGGCGTGTCTCTCGACGAGGACAAGCCGTTGTCGGACATCAGACGCCGTTCTCAACGTGTCGAGCCTGAAAAGGCCCGGTCCCCCTCTGAGGGCAAACGTGCTTCAGCTACCGCCGGAGCTTCTTTCCAGCAATCCGACTATGACTGGTTTGACTTCTTCCTCAAGGCCGGCGTTGGCCCGCACCAATGCGAGCGGTATGCCCAAAATTTCGTCAAGGACTCCATGGACGAGGCCGTGCTTCCGGACATCACCCCAGAGGTGCTGCGCACGCTCGGTCTGAAGGAAGGCGATATTTTGCGAGTGATGCGCTACCTGGACAACATGTTTGGCCGCACCGGAGCCAAGTCGAAGCTACGTAACGTAAGCTTTGGCGGCGAAGAAGTCATTGGGAATGGCGAAGAGGGTGCCGCCGGCATCTTCTCTGGCCCTGGAGGTGTCCTTCGCAACAACACTCGTAAAGGCCGGCCCACTCCCACCTCGCCAGCCGGCGACGTGGTTGACCCTAAGGCCTTTGAGCAGAAGGATGCTTCGCAGCCTGCAGAGCGCAGTGCGACACCCCCCACCACTGCTGCACCTTCCGAACCCCCGGTTCAGAAGGGCTTCGACGACGATGCCTGGGAGGTGAAGCAGCCCAAGCAACCTGCTACTCCCGCCGCCGCTCCAGCTCCCTCGACGCCAGCTACTCCCTCAAGCCCCCCTCCGGCTGCGTCCTCTCCCGCCACGACACAACCACCGGCTCAGCAACCACTCGCAGGCGCGATGGCTGACCTGTCTTTGCTTCAAGCTCCTCTTCAGCCTACGCCTGCGGCTCCTGCCCCGCAATCTCCGCCGGCGCCCTTGCCAGCTCTTCAGCCACAGCCGACCATTCAACCCCAGCACACTGCGGTGCCCGCAACGCAAGTGCAACCACAGCAGACAGGAGCCACGCCGGGCTTCTTCTCCCAGTTGGCACAAGCCGCGCAACAGCCTGCTCCGGGTGCCCAAGGGTTCAGTCCTCAAGCAACGGGCTTCCAGCAGGCTTCAAGACAACGCCCCCAGCCGCCTCAGAGCATGGGACAGAGCTCTTTGCTTCCTCCGCCACCCCAGCGACCCCTCTCCGCGCCCCAGAACTTCCCTCAGCAGCCAAACTCGTTCGGTCCGCCTCCTTTGCAACCCCAACTGACTGGTATCCCTCAGTCGGGACCGCAGATTGCTCCGCCGGGACAAAGTCTGGCCGAACTGAACCAACAGCGGTTCCAGCCCACTCTCCAGCCCCAGCCTACTGGTTTCATGCCTCAGGCTCAGTTCCAGAATGGACTGGCACCGCAGCCCACCGGTTTCCAGCCGCAGTCCCAGTTCGGAATCCAGCAACAGCAAGCTGGGTACCCGGGTCTGGTGCCACAGCCTACAGGCTTCGGGGGCTTCCAGCCGCAACCCCAGCAGCCGATGCAAACCGGCATCAATTCCGTTCTGCCTCCGCCTCTGCAGCCCCAACCTACGGGTATGAATGGTGTTGGCAGCATGCATTACAGCGCACCTCCTGTGCCGCCAATCCCGCAACAACCTACGGCTGCACCATTGCAGCCACAGCAGACCGGACCCGCCCCTGCTGTCCGGTTTGGTGTGAAGAACGAGCCTCCCAAGAAGCTCGCTCCTCAGCCGACCGGTCTCCGGGCCAATCTCGCACAAGCCAGTAAGTTCATCTACTTTTTTACTTTTTCGGGTTGGGGTCAAGCTAACGGAACTCACCAGCGCCTACCAATCCGTTTGGATTCTAATTCAAACCTGTATATATCAGTCTGTGACTTGGCGACACACGATTTTCCTTTACTATACATGGTCGCTTGCTATTTCTTGCTGGCGGGAATGGCATGCACATCATACATAAATGATGCCGCGGTTTGCTTTCATTTCTGCCACTTCTGACGCTGTAATGCGTATATCAGAGCTCCCTCTCTCTCTACCTTAGTCATGGCCGGACGCAATGGACCCACGCAGCGAGTTCTGAAGCAATGTCTCGAGTCTTGTTTACATGACGCAGCTTCAGCGATTTAGAATTTCTTTCTGATGTTCTCTTCTCTCTCTTACCTCGACGCTGCTTCCATCCCATCAATACGTAATATTGGGAAGACAGAAACTCACCCCCGTTCTTCTGCTTCCTGGTTTCTTTTGTATCCTATATTACCTCACGGTCTTCTTGCCGTGAGAGTACACATCCGCCCCCCAATTTATTTCCTATCAACCCGATCCTCATGCTCATGCTGCACGCTTCCTTTCTGCGTTCGGCCGGAGGTGTTGCATTCGTTTCTTCTCACCTTCTCATTCCGATTAATTCCTGAACATGACTATCTCTCTTGTCCCCGTTATACGTTCCGTTTTTCCTTTTACCCTTTCTGCTTTCTGCTCGATCCCGATGTGCATCTCCTTTTTTGCTTTGCAATCTTTGCATTACATGTACGGTACATATAGCTCGTGATTCAGCAGATAAAATAGGGATTATTAGTACTACTTGTGTACGATTCAGTTGCTTGGTATTGCTTGGTATTGCTCGGTATTCGCGTCACTTGGACGGTGTACCAGGTATACACGGATTACTATGATAATAACATATCATCAAGGTGATGGCTCATACTAGTACTATGCATCGATCACCTGAGAAACAGAAACTGACCTACCTGTCAAAGAGTATCATAATAAGTGAATAAAGAACTATTATTAGTAATTATACAATCCTCCTGATTAGTTAAGTAAATAAATAGTCTGTAAATAGTAAGTAGTAGAAAAGAATGGATTCACTGGGCATACTATGTCCCAATCAAGAGTGGTAGTAACTGATGATAATGCATTGAAGACTGTCAATAAAGACTACTAGTTGATTTGATTAAGTTCAAGGTTAACTACTTACAGTACTTAGTAATCACTTTCGAACAATCCATAGTTAAAGGCCATCATCCATCTGTATTTACATAATAGTTAGTATCCGCTCCAGCAATAATATTAACTTTCATCAATAAGTAATACTAAGTAGTAGTAATTAGTTGTGGTGGATTAGTACTATCCACCGACTATAACATATTATATATATACTTAAGAGTGAACCGAGAGGGGTGTGAATGCGGGTGCTATGGGGGAAAACCAATGATACTACTAATAATAATCACTGCATATAGATATAACATATATCATTGCTGTTAATAAAATTATAGGTTTCAGGGGTTAAGTACTACTTAGTGGTGCCCATCTTGGCACAGTTGGTATGTTGTAGTCTGGTAGTAATTTTAACTGACAGTTAGAGTGACGGTTGGAGATGGGGTAATATGGATATTTAGTTTGGTAGTGGCAGTGTGCCCGGATTGTATTGATCAGTAGTACTAAGTTAGCCATTTGGATATATTGGGGTATGGAATATATTCAGTCGGGGATTGTAGTATGTGATTTGTTTGTAGGTTTGTATGTACACGAGAAATGAAATATATATGTGTTGGATGTATGTATGTATGGGTGGAGAGTGGTATTGATGGGAAGTTCCAGTTTGCTTCATATATACATAGCCAAGAGATTCACAAGTCCAACGCCATTCCACGCCACGCCAATTCAAACACGTTTAATTGAGATCAGATAGTATAGTTGGAGGAAGGATGGAGATTCTGGAAGAGGTCGAGAGTCATGAGGAGTCGTGTCGTGATCGGGTTGGCTTGAATTCAGATATTCGGAGTCGGGTTAATGTGACAAGTAGGACATATCTGCACTCAATTTCCAGCTGCAGTATGAGCTAGAAGATGCTTCAAGCATCTCCCCAAATCCCAAATACGGGAAGGTCTTCGGCCATATAGAGCAGGCCATTGTCCGGGAGAATCACGTCCGAGAGTGGTGTTTGCGCCCCTGGAGCATCCGGAGGCATTCCACCGGCAGGGATGGTACCGCCTGGGGAACAACCGATGGGAATTCCGGTTGTGGTGAGCGTGGAAATTGCGGTGTCGTATGGTAGCGTGTCGGCGCCTTGTGCGCCATAGAGCGTATCCCAGATGTCACTGTCGGTTGGGCCAGTGGCGGTAGTGGTGCTTGTAGTTAAGTCGGGCGGCTGAGAAGCAGAAGCTCCGGTAAGTTTGTCGGGGGATAAAGGAGATGGTACAGCGGGGGGTTCTCCGCGATGACTGCTCGGGGTATTTGTTTCGGCAATGGGGGTTTCTTTGGCGGGCCCGACTTGGCCGAAAAGCTGGTCAACTTGTCGGCTGCGGCGCTCCATCCAATGGCGATTCCGTCGACGAACATACTCCGCCACTGCGCCTCGGAGATACTTGATGATCTGGAAGAAGCGACATGCGTGTGGGTCGTGGGGTACGAAGAGGCCCAGAAATTTCTCCGCCTTGTCCATGCCTTCCTCAAGCGGGAGCAAATTGTCGTAGTCGGCAAAGAAAGCGGCTCCCAACACCACGGCCGAGTTGAAGACGGAATTGATAAGGAATGGGAGTCTGCGCGGCAGGGTATTGTAGCGAGAAAGATCATCTACGATGTTGAGTCCGCGCAAGGCAGAGTAAACACATGCGTCGGCAAATAAGGCAATGCGGGAGTTGCTGGCCCTGCTGTCGGAGGATCCTGTTGTCTCAGTCCTATTCCGCACATATTGGGACACTCGGAAGATGAGAAATGGCCGAGTAAGAAGAATAATCGACCAGTAGTAGGAACCAAAGATGTGCGCAGCGGACAAGGTGCCTTCCAGCGTCTTGGAATCCAGCCGCTCAGTCTGCATCTGCAGAAACACCGGAAGATTGCGCACCCAAGCTCGATGTTGATTCGATATGGTTTCTGCGACGGTAATTGAGACGACTTGTCGCATATAGACTTCGGTCAGGATACGTTCGAAGATCCGGCACAGTGAGATCACCGTCATGGACAACTGCTCGTCCGGGTGAAGGCGCTGTTGCTCCCCTGGCGAAATCCCTTCTTCACGCAGATCATAGTCAAAGTCTAGTGTCGCAGGAGGACGTCCTAAGGAGGCACAAAGGTACAGATCCATCATACGAAGACTCTTCCACACCCGTTCTCGAGCCCGCCGTTCCCGGGTGCAGAAAAGCGCATTCGCGTCTTTCCGGTGAATTCCAACCGCATACGCGGCACGAAGCGCGATTCCCAAATTCATAAAAGCTCCGTTGCGTCGGCAGGCGCCCAGCATGTACATCGAGATCAAAACATAGGACTGGATAGTATATATACTCGGGGTCTCCGTGAAGGCAGAAAACGCTAACTGACGGCCGCTGACGAAGTACTGCTCAGCCAGGGATTGATTGATATCAGACACCTGCGCGCCAATCGCAAGGACGAGATAAAATATCGAGCTGACAGTATCCTCATCACCCGTCGGATTCTCGACCCAATTTGCAAGCCGGGGGTGAAACTCGTTGAGGTCGAACAGATCCAACAGCGGGCTTGTAGCAAGCACAAACTGGCGCGCAAGCCTCTGAGCTTCTTCATTGCTTGGTGGCGATATCAACGGTCCTGTTTGTGTTGTAGAGCCACTCTGGAACGCCTCCAGCATCGAATGTCGCGAGTTGTCCTCCGTGAACTCGCATCTGCCGATCGAAGTCGATACAATCCTCCGCACACTCTGTAGGAAAGACAAGCTGGCGGAGTCGCCAACGTACATGAATTTGCCTTGTCCATCACGCAGTAGCCTAGCCACCTTGGGCACAGGCGCCGTCCCATCCTTGTCATCCGTAGCCTGTTGTTCCATATTGGCACTCCGGTCTTCGAGCGAGTTCAAGAGTCGGTCCATGGCGGTCTGACGCTGTGGGGTCGGGACTAACCGTTCGCTGAGAAGCATGGTGTCCTTGGAGCTGCTGCTATTCGGTTTGAGTAGTCTCGCCGGTTTGTCGGAGAAGTGACACTCGGATTCTTTGCGCCGTTGGATGCAGATCGTGCATGGCTGTTCTCCGTTGCATTTTTGTTTCCTCCGCTTGCAACTATCGCAGGCGCGTCTGCAGCGGAGTCGGCCCCCAGGGGGTGGATTAGCTTTAGGCATGATGGTGCATAAACTGATATAGCGTCTGATGATCCGGGCCCGTAAATCCGCTCGAGCCACAATCGCAAAGTGATGATGTACCTGACGAGGAGAAGAGGTGCAGACCGCCTGCAGGGGCAAACCGCGGGGTCGGTTGATGGGGGGGTTTGTGTCAAGACTAGGCTGACTAGCCGAGTGTTGGATTGAACATCTCTCTAGCACATGGGAGAGAGCCAGAATGGCAAAGATATGCCCACAGGCAGATGGCGAGTCAAGTAGGGAAGGATGACCAGAAGGGAAGGATGATGGGATGCTTGGCCGCTTTCCCCGGATTGAGTCGGGGCCGCCAATTGGGGGGGCCTGCGCTGACTAAGAATAATGGATCATCATCGGGCAACTTGCTTTCGACTTCAAACCATCGATGGCATTATTGGTGACTAGTGGCTATTTACGGCCTTGATAACTACATTCGTACATTTCCTCCGATGCACGGCATGACCCGCACGGCTCACATCATTCCCTCTACGGCCGAGTCGATCCTTTTACTCTGGCCGGAACGATACAATCTTTCCCCAGGTATCGGCCGTGCCCCAGATTCCATGGCGCAAGCATGACAACTGCACAATCTGGCTATGATCCACAAACAGATTCACATCAATACCAAACTCCCGGATATACCAGTTGTACACCTTGGGATCTGCCGCCTCGAACATGACGCGCTCTGGGGGAAGTTCCTTCATGATCTTGGACACCACATCAGTCCGCCACGACTGCACGTTCTCGGTGATCCCTTCCGATTCAATCATCAGGCGCTCGACACCTGCGTCTAGGAACTTGCGCCCCATGTTCACCAGCTTGGCCGGGTCGGAAGTGCCAATCGCCTCCAAGCCAGACGCCGGAGTGTCACCACCAGCACCGAACTGGATTCCTAATTCGGGCTTCGCCTTTAGCTTGTACGAGTGAACCTTATCGACGAGTCGGAGCCAGTCGTCTTCAGGGAAGGACAGAAAGCCGGACGAGAGCTCAATCACATCGAATCTGCCGATAGATATTAGTTGGATGAGCTGATTTTCAAGCAAGCTTGGACATAGAAATAACCGTACCCCAAGTCCTTGCACTTGCGAAGATATTTGTCAAAGACGGCATTCGCGTCAGGGTGAGTAAGTAGATGTTCAGCCCATCCGCCCTATGCAGAAGTCACTATTAGCAAGCCTATACAGGCGAACTCTTCCGAGCAAGAGCCTTACGGTCGAGACATAGACACCGTAGTCATGAGCAAGGTCAATCAGTTCCCTCAAGGGTTTCTCTGGAAAGAGAGAGAATGATCCTAGAAGGCTGTTTAGTATTTCTTTTGTCTCACCAAGTTCAGCGGTAGTCTTACCTCCTGCAAACTTTAAGCCGTCGACATGTGTTCCCATCCTGTTGAACATTGATCAGAACTTAGACCTGTGGCAGAAGTGGTGGGTACTGCTCACGTCTCAAGCACGTCCGCCAAGTATCTTTTACCCATCACCTACAATTACGGATCAGCTCTCTGCTTTAGGGCGAACACTCTCGCCAGGCTGTGCGGTGACATCGCATACAGTATAGTATGGGCCTCTAATTTCAGTGACACCCTTCGTCCGTGGCTTCGGGGGTCGGGGGTTTGACCGCGCGAATCCGAATCCATTTTTCTTGTCTTGGAGCAATGTGACCTCTTTCTGGCTAGGAGGGGTGGAAGAAAGCGCTCGCGAAGCTCCCGTCAATACGGCAACTTTGGGGATCTGCGGCGACGCATGCTGGAGCATGCTCCTCGACGGGGCTGGGGCCACGCGGGATAGTGTTGAAAACATTATGTAGACTGATATTATGCTCTGGATAAGGGTGTATCAAACAGAGTAATTAAGACACTATGTATGATTTTCCATTAAGACTGACACTGGTTGTGCAAGCACATCAGAAGCTTCGGTTCCTTATAGTATGTGTTCATCACTGTTAACCTGGATCCGGTCATGTCAGGAGTCACAGAAGACTGACGTAAAGGATAGCTCATCGTCGAGACGTGGAGGTGACAGTGACAGTCATTGGTCCCTACCGGTTGACAGTTAGGAGAAGGCATTGATCGATAAGCAATAAGAACCCGTAATCCCCCTCCATTGCGGAACTTTTGTGTACCCCTGAGCAGTATTATGTGTTCACTGGCCGTGAAGGACAAGAATTCATTGGTACTTCTGAAATGACTGGAAATAGCGATGAAGTCAGGATGGCAAAGGTACGCTTAAATGACGTCATTTAATATATCCGGTAAGCCCGTATATTGAGTAGTTATCAATCCATTCAATCAATTGTTAGTGCTTGGGGAATACGGTCAAATGCAGCAAAATATCTTGTTACCGATATCCATCGACAAAAGAATACCTATCAGGCATTTGATAAGAGGAGCACACATGCAAGTAGGTACTTTGGTCGGTATGGATGCAACGATCTTCCCGCGCCGAGGTAGAATGATTAGTATTCGGGTCAAGCTTCGTAGCACCTAGGCACCGATTCAGCAACAACGACTGAGGGTCCATGGATACAAGACCCTCCCAATAGAGTTTCTCCAGGGCCGCATATGAAGAGAAAGTATTGGCGACGGAGCTTCGGAGACAAGCGGGGTTTGGGTCGGCACTTGGCACGGAGCGGAAGTCTTCCGGTCGCCGACGAGGATGATTGATAACAATAATAATAATCAGTCCCCCTATAGCAAATCGCATGATTTTTACCTCAACAAGACAGAAAAGTAACTGGTTGGTCAGTTAATGAAACTTTGGTTGGGTCAACAAAAAGGCTACCGTCACACAGCCTCAAAAGACCTAACGCATGTATACTGCATGTAGGTTACTAATCTGTCTGCCTACAAGCACTCCAGAAGACCGTCTCATTGGAGCACGTGCACAATGTTAGATGTTTAGATAGAAAACAAAGAGTGATTGCCTACAATATTCTGCACTCTTTGTGAAGTATACGGGCGATCGCCCCAGCCGTCTCGCAAGACTGAGTGTGGGATCACCAAGAATAGTGACAATTTCGGTGCACGGAACGTGGTAACCCCGCTTCAACTCACAGGGTGGATTGATGATCAGGAAGAGCAAACCGTCGAATTAAGTGGATGAGACGAGAACAGACTAGGACCACGGAAACGGATGTTTGTCGACCGCTGCGGAGCCCTCGGAAGCTATACGAAGTCCCCTGGTCGTTAGGCGTTACTCCGTAGTACTAAGGATAAAGTGATTTATGCGGGTTTTATGCATCTGGACTTCTCCTGCCTTGGAAATCATCCCGTGGTCGAGACGGGAAGAGTTGCAAATCATGCGCCAGCTCTGTACTACGTAGTTAAAGCTAACACTAAGATCGGGAACCTGCCGTGATGCTTCTTGTACGGCTGAGTTAGTTTTTAATAGTAGTGATACGGGAGTGGCTTCGGAATCTTGGGTTTCTAGGAGAGATACGAACGCTGATCGGATAATTGAGGCGCTCGATAAACATACAGGGGAAAACTGTCACGATGTCATCGCACGTCCTGGAGGCGTTTCGGGTTTTCACCCGACAAGGGTCATGAAGAGTTGAAGAGAGCGAGGACAGTTACCGTGGAATCAAGGGGAGAGCAGGGGGGTTCCCACAAAGAAAGCAGGACCAGAAACGAAGTAATTAATATTTAGTCTAGATTCCGCTCACTGGGATCGCCAAGCAAGAAAGTGGACTGGCTGAGAACAAGGCTAGAAGCCTCGACCCTGTAGGGCCAGTATTAACATCGTATCGTATTCAGGATCGAGTACGTACAGGCTCTACTAGGCTTCGTCGGGAGGGGAGTACATGCATATATTCAACGTAACCTGAGCAATTCACAGAGAGACAACATAGACTGAATGAATTGATACCTCAGCATTTTCATCTCCTTCGTCGTCCATTTGTCGGCAAACTTTCTCGTGCCGTCTTTTGTGCAGCGTGCTTTCCTGCCCATCCTGGTCAACATTCCGCTGACTCATGTGACGTCTTTCCGTAAGCTTACTAGCTTGCGAGCATGATGTCCGCCCGGCGTAGGTAGGTAATTACCAAACTGGGAAGTGGATGCGGCTGACATTGGGTTTCCAGCCAATGGAAATAGCTCCAGCTGGTCTAACTGGGAACAATAATCGTGGTAACAATACTAGTCGTGACGAGGATCGTCTGGTCGCGACGGCAAAATCCCTGCAAAGGCTAAGAGACGGATTGATCGAATCTGGTAATTATTCTTACCATTGAACCGTGAAATACTTACTCCGTATTAGCAGGTCACCTTTTTTCTGCTGTCACCGCCAGTACAGAGTTAGGCCCAGCAAGTGGGAGCAAGGACCCATGTTCGTTGATCTTCCTCGACCTTTTGACAAACCTTAACGGGCCTAATTGGGTGACACCGACAAAGCAATTTTCTTTGTGACTTCACCCATACCCTCCTTCTCCCCCCCAATAAGTTACTAATAGGCATTCTAAGAGGGTGAAATTAGCATCCAGGTCCAAAATAGGAGGTCAGATTTAATTGGTATGATTACTGGAACGCGGATGTTTGACCCTTTCTGCCGTCCCCTTCGAGAGTTTCAAACTCCTTCATCCCTCCCCCAAACGGATGGCTTTTGTTTTGTTCGGCATCCGGAAGCTCCGACGATGGCGTTCTCTCTGAGCCAAGTAGTGCTGGTGGTTCCTTGGTTTGCTGGCCCGATCTCCAGCATGTGTTAATCATCACGCACCGAAGAACCGGTGAAACCCACTTTGGAGAGCCATGTCATCCAATCCAGTGAGGAGCGATCCCTTATTTTTTTTTGCTGCCCACTCAGGCTCGGTGGTTCGGACTGGTTACATGCCTGCTGCTTTTTTGGTACTTGACTAGTATTTCTACAGCCAAGCAGGTCAGGCTGGACTGAGACCCTCCCTCTCTCCCTGTAGTACCTACCTAGTACCTACGTACTACTCACTCACTAGGTTACTTACTTTACCTACCTAATTAAATCAAAACTAATCAACTAATGATTATCTACTAATACCCACACCCCCCAAAAAGACGCAAGCAAGTTCCTACTAGTACCATCTGCTACTAGGTTGCACTGCGTAAGGTACATAAGTGCCGCCCCCCACTGCTGCCCATCTCAGAGAGTAATACTTCACGCTACTGCTACTTATTCAAGCTATTAGGCGGGATAATTCAGCCCGCCCTTCCTTTCTACCGGTTTGTTGTTGTCTGGTTGGCTTTGCTAACCTGACGATGCTCTCGGTGTTCTCCAAGCCTTGTCTCTCTGTGCTTCACTCTTTATAGCTTGCCCCGCAGCATTCCAGCTTGGAATCTTGGAGCTGCTTGGTCTTTTGTACTTCATTAGTCTTAATCCTCACCCTTGATTTTCTTTCCCTTTCCATACAGTCGACTTATTCCCACCTCTTCCTCGGTATAGCGCATCTATTTTCTCCACCCCGAGGAGGTCACACCATCATGGGAGTCGGAGCGTTCCTCGAGCCTCTGACGGTCATCGTTCTTCTCTTTGGAGGTACCTGGATCAACCGAACAACAGGATCGTTCCCTGCACGCAGAACCCGCCGCAGATCCAGCATCCCTTCACGTGGCAGCTCTCCTGATGCGACAGAGTCCGGACTGTCCACACCGACCGCAAAGGACGGCCTGCTGTCTCGTCGCCTGTCCTCATCTTCATCGGCACTCCTACAAGATGGCCAGAGTCGGTGGCGCAAGAGGCAACTAGGGATCTTTTCGTCGACCTTGGAGGTCACCTCTCCAAACACCATCGTCTTCCAAGATCGCCTGCTTAGTCGCCTCCTACGCAAGTTCCCTTTCTTAGTCGAATGCTGGTACTGGGCGTTAGTGTACTGGGTATGATTTTCGAACCCTGTGTTCCCTACACTTGCTTTACTCGAGTCCACAGCAACTACTTGCTTTCCAGGTTCTATGTGGCAATAGCTAATGTTATGGCATAGACATACCAACTAGGTCGAGCGTTTACTGCCGTTACGCTGCAAGAAGGCACCGTCGACGTGGCGAGGAAACATGCGCTACAGCTGATACAGGTTGAAGAGGCGCTGGGACTGTTCTTGGAGGTTCCTATCCAGCGGTTCTTCCTCCGGCACACCAGACTCATGATGTGGACAAACTGGATCTACTCCTTTATTCATATCCCGGGAACCATTGCCTTCCTCGTCTGGCTCTACTACTACACGACCACTAGAAACCGATACGATGAGTCGCAGCCTGGCAAGCCTCGTGGATTCATGAGTGGCTCGCCCGCAGGCCCGCGCCTCTATCAAGCTCGTCGTCGAACACTTGCCGTGTGCAATCTGCTTGCGTTCGTGGTGTTTACTTTGTGGCCCTGCATGCCACCTCGACTGTTGAGCGACAAGGACGCGCAGGGTCCTGATGCCGCTCGGGGTCGTAGCTATGGATTTGTGGATACGGTGCATGGCGTCAACGGTGCAGGCAGCGTTTGGACCGAAAACCGCTTCTGCAACCAGTACGGTGAGTATTCATTCCGGGAACCACTTGGGCGAGGAGACCGCTGACCAAAACACGCACAGCCGCCATGCCCTCCTTGCATTTCGGCTACTCTCTGATGATTGGTCTCACGATCATGACCATACCGCTGCCGCCACATCATCGTCGGCGCTCGCGCATCGCGATTGGCCCTGTCGGGCTGCAGGTTCCGTCATGGCGCCGACTCGTCTGCCTGGCCATGGGCTTTGCTTATCCATTTGTCATCCTGGCCGCCATTGTCGCGACTGCCAACCATTTCATTCTGGACGCCGTGGCCGGTGCCACGGTGTGTGCTCTTGGGTGGAAATTCAACGGCATCTTGCTGAACCTGCTTCCCCTGGAAGACTACTTCCTCTGGGCTCTTCGTATCCATAAACCGGTGCCGACCGCGCTGGAAGATTTCGAAGGGGCTGATGGGTGGACTGATGATGAGGGATTGCTTGAACATACTTCCCTTCCTTGGTGAGCGAGTTTTGCGCTGCCTCGAGAGTAGCTTGTCTTCCTACAAATATACCGTGGACTTGCATGATACCCTTCTGGAAATGGCTTCTCACCTCGTTTTTATGAACCTGTCATGACTCTTGATCTGTATTAATTACATTGATGGTACCGCCGGTCGGTCGTTCGGGCCATACTATTCTTTACTGTCCGTGCCTACTCTCCCTCGATCATCCATATGCTCCGAACTCCCCCTACTGTGTATATGGCGACCTGCTTTTGATCAAAGACAATGCATCTTAATCTTTATCTCTACTCAACCTGGATGAATGGTTTTGGGATGACTCTAGTTCTTGTGTAAGTCAAACATCGTACACAAATTAGGATGATTGCTATATAGTAGTAGAACTAGAGACGAATCAAGCAGGAAAGTGGGTTGGGGGTGAATGGCATGAATGAACGTCAGAACAGAATAACACGAAGATACCCTCCAGGTGGCTGGTGAGAAAAGGAAAAGATGGGATCATTTTAAAATTCTGCTTGTAGCACACGACGAGAAGGATTTGCAAGGTATTGATTGTCAGTGTTACTTGCGTGGGACTGACTCGACAAGTGCCGGACGGGGTGTTGTAGATGGGGGAATACTCTACTAGGCTCATTGTCCCGCCCTTCAACGCACGGAGTCAATGGAACGAGCAAGACTCTCGGAATAAGCCTGTAAAATCCAATGCGGAAGTGGGGGGGGATAAAGGTCAGTTGAGTGTTGTACTGGGGATATAGATTTAGGATGGCTGGTGGTTTGGCAGCCAGCGAGGGAACTCTTTCTCCTGGCGTCACCATCCGTCTTTCCCTTTTGTTGCCTTGTTCCCCCGACCAAACAACTACAGACGCATTCTCACCATCACCCCTACTTCCTCCTCACCCGTCGACTCTACCCTCTCCAAGATCCAGTGTCGATTCCGGGTGAGATTTGACTCCGGTATACTTGCTTGTTCACCTAACTATAACTCCTCGTCAGAACCTTGCAGATCCTTGCGACCGCGGGGTTTCTGGTGTTCCTCAACATCCTCAAACTAGTGATCGGATTCGGCGGTGCGCGACTGGATTGTTAGCTTCAGGTGAGTCTGCAATTCGAATGTCCTATGCAAAGAAGATACTAAAGCCGTGAACAGGTTGTGTCTCAACACCAAGTACTTGTGTGCACTCTATTTTGAGTCCTATCCATCTCTTGAATTGACCCGTGAACTTCCCTGTCTCGGTGATCCAAGTAGACGAGCAGACTGCGGCTCATCCGTGGGTGTTCATCACTACGATTCTACTGTCGCCAATTTCCGAATAGCCCCTTGGCCTTTTTCTTTCCTGCTATTGAAAGCTCCGTGTTGTTGTTGTGCAGCAGCAGCGACTTCGCGTTTCCGGCTGCTGGAGGATCGTCAATCGCCGGGGAGTTTTCGCGTCACGGCCCATTAGCAGCATCACCATCATCCATCCATTCATCACCACAGGCGTCCCTGTATCGCCGTGTTTTTGAAGGGGACTGGATCGGATTTACCCATCGATTCTACGTTTGGGAGAAACGCCACGATTCTCAGCAACCACCCCCTTCCTATTGGAAGCTCTGTCTTACAGTTGCCACAAGCGCTCCGAGACACGACACAGCGGTCTGCCGTGATAGGATCCCCCTCCTGCCCAGTCGCTAATACAAGGGTTATTGGGGGCAGCTCCAGAAAGCCAGTGTTACTTGTCAAGACCAGTTGTGGTGGTTGACATTGATCAACTTGTCTCTTGTCGTTGAAGCGTTTGCGTCATTTACGGACTGGGCGCAGCGCCGCTTTGCTTTCCCACCCCAAGAAGTGCAACGCGTTGTCGACTTCCCGCCTCCCGGCGTCGCGACCTTCTCCACCACCACCTCTCGCTCGCTCGCTCTCAACTCTCTCTCTCTCTCTTACTCTCCTCCTCCTTCCACCGCATTACCCTCCCCCTCGAACCTTCCCCCCCACCCAAATACCTTCTTCTCATCAGAAGGCTTCGTCTATCCTCTTCTTCGCATCCTCCTTCCATTCCCCCCTCCTGATTAATTTCCGACTCCCGGTTGCGCATCATGGCCGAGGATACCCCTGCTGCCTCGGCGCCCGCCCCCGACGCCGGTGAGTCGTCCGTCGAACGCGCTCCCGCTGATGCCCAGCCCGCTGCTGCTGAGTCTGCGCAAGAGCCTTCCAAGGAGAAGGAAGAGCAGCAGACCAATGGTCCTGAGGACAAGCCATCTGGTAAGCTACCCCAACACCACGCCCTCTCCTCTCGTCGCGGTCTTGCCTAGTGGCGCTCGCTAATATCACCCGCCCCATGCTTAATAGCGACCGAAACTGCCACTGAAGAGGAGAAGAAAGAGCCCGCCCCAGCAGAGGCCGAGGAATCGAGCGCACCCGCCGAGTCTGCCGACGCGAAGAAGTCCGATGAGAGTGCGGCCGCGCCTGCAGAGCCCGAAGCCGCACCAGCATCGGAGGCCAACGGAACACCCGCATCCGCTAAGAAGTCTGGCGCCGCGAAGCGGAAATCGACTGGCACCGTGCCCGAGCACAAGTCTAAGCTGAGCAGAAAGAAGTCCCAGATTCGTACCACACATTTGAACGCACAGCCCGGCGAGTACTACCTGGCGCGTCTCAGGAGCTTTCCCCCATGGCCTTCCATCATCTGCGACGAGGAAATGCTCCCTCAGACTCTATTGAACACGCGTCCCGTGACGGCTCAGCGCCCCGACGGAACCTACAGGGAGGACTACGCCGATGGCGGCAAACGCGCTCACGAGCGGACCTTCCCCGTTATGTTCTTTGAGACAAACGAATTGTGAGTAACACTACATTGAGCTTGGATGAAGCTTGCGACATCGAGTTGGCTAACGAAGACCATAGCGCGTGGATCCCCAACACCGATCTGACCCCTATCGATGCTGCTGGCTGCAAGGAGGTGTCAGAGAAGGGCAAGTCAAAAACTCTCTTGGCTGCGTATGCTGTGGGTGCCGAGGGTCATGACCTTCAGCACTTCAAGGACCTGCTGGCAGACCACCAGCGTGCCCTGGAGCAGGAGATCGAAGAAAAGGAGGCCCAGGCAGCTGCCAAGGCCGCCGCCAAGGCAGAGCGAGAGGCTAAGAAGAACAAGCGCAAGAGCATGGACGTGGTCGATGACGAAGATGTCGACATGGACGATGCTGATGAGGAGACGAAGAAGCCCAAGAGCACCAAGAAGCGCAAGAAGGACAATGACTCTGAGGCCCAGAGCGATGAGAAGGTAGGAGAGAGCCGTCGTGCTGAATTCGGGTGACACTGTGGAGCTGACTCTTTTTTTTCCCGTCTAGCCTGCGAAGACCCCTAAAACCACCACGAAATTGAAGTTGACTACCCCCAAGACTCCCGCCACCGAATCTGGAAAGAAGGCCCCTGCTTCCAAGGGCAAGCAGACCGCAAGCAGCAAGAAGGCCGCTAAGGCTGCTGCTAGTGATGATGGAGAGGAGTCTCGCGCGGAATCCAAGGAGCCCGAGAAGAAGTTGACTCAGGAGGAAGCCAAGGACAAGAAGGAGAAAGAGAGTATGTGTGGAACCAACCTGGTAGCCCAGGAACGTGTTATGCTAATGATGACTAGTTCTCTTTATCCGTCACAAGCTTCAGAAGGGATTCATTTCTCGTGACCAGCCACCCAAGGAGGAAGAAATGACTCAAATGTCCAACTTCTTCGGCAAACTTGAGAAGCACGCGGACCTTGAAGTCTCCATTATCCGTGCCACGAAGATCAACAAGGTCTTGAAGATGATCGTCAAGCTCAGCTCCATCCCTCGCGACGAGGAATTCCAGTTCCGGGCCCGTGCGATGAGCATTCTGTCCAAGTGGAAGAACTTGCTGGATGCGGATGCCACCGGACCCTCGGATGATAAGGAGAAGGGAGACAAGCCCAAGGCCAACGGTGTCCACAAGGAGAGCAGCGTTGAGACTCCGGCTAAGGGCGATACCGAGAACGAGAAGGAGGATGATACCAAGGAGAGCAAGGCTGACACTGCGGAGCCGCAAGATGAGCCGATGCCTGATGCCGATGCAGCAGAGAAGCCACAGGCCCCTGAGCCGGCTACGGAGGAGACTGAGAAGGAAGCTCCCAAGACCGAAGAGGCTACGACGGAGAAGGCAGCGGAGGAGAAGTCTAGCGAAGAGAAGCCAACCGAGGGCAAGACGACAGAGGAAAAGGCCGATGCTGAGAAGACAGAGGAGAAGGCTGATAATGAGAAGACGGAAGAGAAGCCAGTGGAGACGGCAGCATAAAGGTGATGCTGATGGAAGTTGTTTGCCGTTGTTACCACCCACATTGATTGTGGCGTTTTGTTTACTTGCCTTAGTTTATGGGCCTCTCTGTGCTGTGACTCCTCTCTGCGTTGTCTTGTTTTTTTTTTCTTACTATCCAATCCAACCAAATCCCCCTTTTTCTTCTTTTTCTTCTTACTCTTGGAATCAAATTCACGAAGCTGGAAAAAGTCAAATACATGCAAGCGTCGTTGAAACCATCCTTATCTTTACCACCCTTATCTTTTATCATGGGAAAGCTTTCACCATCATCTCTTTTGCCACTACAGAGTACCATCTGTACATCCATCATCCATGTCCATCTTCTTAATTGATAGTGGAGTGGAGTAACGAGATGCATATTCCCCCCTCTCCGGATCTCAAAATGATCAACACCAACACCCAGTATGCCCGATTCCACGAGTAGGGATTGATTGATTGATTGATTGATTGATTGACAAGGAAGAAGAAAAGACTCTTACTTTACTCTTTCCCTTCATTTTACCTCTAACCCACTCACCCACCCAACCAAAACTTTCCCGCCCTGCTCTGCTTTATTTCAATCCTGGGAAAAAGGGAGGATATATCATCAATGCTTAATTACCAGGTTCTACTGCTGCTGCTGCTGCTGCTGCTGCTGCTGTTGTTGTTATTATTTCTTGTTTTCAGCTTTGCCGAAAGGTTGAATCGAAATTGTATACTCATCGTG